TTGTTGGCCATTTTTAAATGTCCTTGAAGGCCTGTCTATTATCTTTGGCTCATTTTTGAATTTTTTGGTCCTTCCATTGTTGAGTAGTAAGAGTTCTTTATATTCTTTGTATATTAAAAACCTTCCTAGACATACAATTTGAAAATATATTTTTTTCATTCTGTGAGTTGTCTTTTCACTTTTTTATAATGTCCTCGAGGCACAAAAGTTTATAATTTTGCTGCTGTCTTGTTGAAGAATTGCCAAATCCCAAATCTGAATATTTAATATGTTTTAGTAGTAATCTTGTAGTTCTAGCCTTTATATTAGGTAATTTATCTCTTTTGAGTTTGTTTTTGTGTTTGGTGCAAGGTAACGGCCCAACTCCCATTATTTTGCATGTGAATATTCAGTCAACCCAGCATTATTTGTTAAAACAGATAATTCTTTCCTCATAGAAATCTTTGAATAGTATTTGCACCTTTGCCCAAAATTCACTTGGCCATAGATGTATAGATTTATTTTGGGATTCATAATTCTATCCAATTTTTCTGAACATCTATTATTTATACCAGTATTACATTGGTAGGATTTCAATGGGATTGCTTTGATWGCTTTGGATATTATTGCCATCTTAACCATAGTAAATCTTCCAGCTCATGAACATGGATTGATGGATTCCCTTTCTATTTATGTAGTTCTTTGATTTCTTTCAACAAATTGTTTTCAGACTGGGTTCTAAAATGAGTCTCATATGAGCAGTTGAATCGTGTTTTTAAGTCCATTTTCACAGTCTCTACTTTTTACTTGGAGAGTTTAATTAATTTACATTTAAATTACCAATAAAGAAAGTTTTTTTCTGCCTTCTTTAAAATTTTATTTTTAATTTTAGTTTTTATTTTGGAAGTAATAGTGATTAAACCYAGGGGTGCTCTACCACTGAGTTATATCCTTGGCCCCTCTTAGACAGGGTCTCACTAAGTTGCCAAGGCTGACCTCCAATTTTCCATCCTTCTGCTTTGGCCTCCCAAGTCACTGGCATTACAGACATGTACCACTGAGCCTCACTTTTTATTTTTTTTCTATGTTATATATTATTTTTTGTTCCTCATTTCCTCTGTTATTGCCTTTATCTGTGTTTAATTGATTTGTTGTGGTATACTGTTTTATCTTCTATTACATGWGTAGACAATTTCTTAGTGTTTACCATGGGAGTTATGAATGAACATGCTCAGTTCATAACAATATAGTTTGAGTTGATAGCAACAAGTTTTAATAGTATCAAAATAATTCTGTTTCTCTACAACTCTGCGCTTCTTTATATACTGTGTATGAATTAATATGGATTTATAATTATGTTTTGTACWTTTGTCTTTTAAATCATGTAGGAAATTTTAAAAGGAGTTACCAACCGAAAATACAATAATGCTGTTCTTCCTATGTTGTTAYCTTTACAGAAAAATCTTGAGTTCTTTATATGGAACTGAATTACTCTTTTGAACATCCTTTCACTTCTGCCTGAAGGACTCCCCTTAGCATTTTTTAATAGGATAGGTCTAATGATAATGATGCTCTCAGATTTTTTTCTGGGAATGTCTTAAATTTTTATTTTCATTTATAAGGATAGTTTTGCTGGATATATAATTTCTATTGTTTTGGCACCCATGTCATTATTTTTTATTTTTGGCACTTTAAATATTATCTCACTGCTTTCTGTCCTCCATGACTTCTAAAGAGAAAGCAAGTGATAATCCTACTGAGAAGGCATTTCTCTCTTGCCGTTTTCAGGTTTCTTTTTATGTCTTTGTCTTTTTATGTCTTTGTCTTTTTATGTCTTTGTCTGAGTGTAAAGTGTTGTCATGTGGATATCTTTGAAGTTTGTCTACTTGGAGTTTAATGAACTTCTTGAATGTGTAGATCATGTTTTCCATAAAATTTGGAAAGTTTTCAGCCATTATTCCTTTACATATTCTTTCTGTCCCTTTCACATTCCTCCTTCAGGGACTRCCACAGTGCCTGTGTTGATCTTTTTGTTCCTTAGACTACAGAATTTCAATAGTCCCAGCTTCAAGTTCACTGGTTGTTTTTTTTTTCCTCTCCCATCTCAAATCTGCTGTAGATCAGGATTCTAGAGTTAATCCTTTTAGTCTTTTTGTGCTCTGATTGTTTCTGTGGATGACTGATTCTTTGAATGTCCTGTTCTGCCATTTTCTATGTTGTTACCCAAGGACCTTATAGAGTATCTATTTGCCTTATCTATCTATGTCCTCCTGCTTAGAAAAAATACTGTTAATGCATGTGAAATATTTACAGATAAATTCTTTAACCAGAATTGTCTTTTCTGTAACAGGACTTCTAAACCATCAGTGGCTTAAACAAACAGAGTTTCATCAGAAATCCAGTCAATTATATGCCATGATTGCAGAATATGGTTCAAGACTTTATAATTACCAGGTGATGTTTTTTTAAGCTATTGTTGTATGTCACTCATTTGAAACTTAATATGCTACAGGACGGGTCTAGCTTGCAGTATGTGATTTGGTTTTGTGTGAGACTATCTTATAGAAATAATATATGAAGAAGAGTTCTTTTAAGTGGCCCTTTCCAAAGAGGCCCTAAAAATTCTCCACAGCTTCTGATCCTTACAAGTTCCCCACTAGAAGCTCCAGCATAAAGAAAAATGGCAGATCAATCTTTATTGTTAAATTTTCTGATACTCTGAGCAGTATAGTATTTTCTTTCACCCTGAAGTTAGTTTGATCTCAGTGGGTTTAGATGGAGGCGAGTCCTTGACTATCTATCCTCTTCTGCTCCACCCCAGCCCAAGCACACCTCCCTAACATTTCACACTGAGCTTTATCCATTCTGTACTTAGACCTCAGAAAAAGAGAGGGAAAAAGTTGATGGAACCATGGCCTGGTCTCCACTGCACCATGGGAAGAGGCAGGCGAATTGACTTGCATCAACTCATGTGCTGACCTTTTAACACAGAGGTGGCTCCATCCTGATCCTGGACCTGAGTGCTTAGATATACTTCTTGCCCTTTTCCCTAAGGCAGGTCTTCTGACATCCTCTACYTCCCAGTTCATCCAGAAATGGTTATATTCCAATGTGTTTTGCCATGTGGAAACCCTAAAGAAAGGCAATYGAACAGGATGGTTCCTGCAGGATTCAAGGCCAGTGAAACATTTCCCTGGAAGTTCATGGGTTGACACCTGTAATCACTCCAAATCATAAAAATGTTTCTCTTTGTATATTCTGAGAATCTCTGAGCCCAAGTCCTGGACAAAAGTACAGTCTTGTGGAAACTCCACAGGGAGTCAGCCTCTGACAGATGGGCATCCTCACAGCAAAGACCAGAACCCAAGCCATTGGGAGCTGGGCCAGATAGTTAGCTCATTCCCAATAAAAYAGTTATGAACATTCAGGATGGACAGTAGAGGATCCAGTTATTGTCTGTTTATGACTTACCCTCATTGTGAAGGTTAATTTTATATGTCTTCTTGGCTAAGCCACAGTGCCTCAATATTTGCTCAAGCCCAATGTAAATGTTACTATGAAGGAGTTTTTCAGATCTGATCAGCATGTAATCAATAGGCTTTAAATAAAGGAGATTACCCTCTCTAATATGGGTGGGATTTATCCAGCCAGTTGAGTAGCTCAAAAGAAAAAAATAAAAAATGAGATCTCCTAGGGAAGAGGGAATTCTGCCCCCATATKATATTTTTAAAATTTTATTTATTTTATTCATTTTAGTTGTTGATGGACTTTTATTATTTATTTATATGTGGTTCTGAGAATCGAACCCAGTGCYTCACACATTTGAGGCAAGCACTCTACTACTGAACCACAACCCCAGCTCTCTCCATATGATCTTTAAATTTGAACTACAGCATCAACTCTTCCTTGGATCTCCATCCTGCCAATTTTCCCTAACAATTTCAGACTTGCAAACCCCACAATTGCATGACCAGTTCCTTAAAAGAAAATCACACACATACACCCCAGATTAATTCTGTTTTTCTGAAATCCCCTAATACATTCATAAATATGTCTGGCAGGTTAAATATGTCTGGCAGGTGCTGCTAGGGCCTGAGTATTGGGTAACCCCTCTGATCAGCATCCTCAACAGTGTTCTCCCTTTAAAAAGTGCCTAAGGCTCTAAGGGCAGTATTTTTATGAGACTGAATTTGAGGATTAGTTACAATCATTTCACTTTTGCCCAGTGTTTTGCTGGTTTTCACACACACAAAAGCCATCAGAAATCACTGGGGACTGATTGTGATTTAGTTCTATGTGAGCACTTTATAGATCCCAAGCTACATGCAGTAGATACTGTTCCATAGCTTGCTTTGGTCAGCTTAATAACAATAGATTACACATGTYCCCTGTCTTTAGATATTATTTTATAATATCATTTTAAGGCTTATAAATAATATTTTCAGTTAATACTTATATCTGAACAATTGAACTGTTTCTAATTTTTCAGTATTATAAACATGAACATCTTGTGGCTAAATGTCTTCAATCATCTTTGATTATTTACTTAGGATATGCTTCTTTTTTTGTTCAAATTACTTACACATGATAGCAGAATGTATTTAGATTCATTGTATACAAATGAAGAACAACTTTTAATTTCTCTGGTTGTACACGATGTAGAGTTGCCCCATATGTGCAGTCATACATGTACCTAGAGTAATGATGTTCATCTCATTCCACCATTTTTCCTGTCCCCTGTCCCCTCCCCATCCCTCCCTCCCCTTTGCCCAATCAAAGTTCCTCCATTCTCCCCATGCACCACCCCYCACCACCATTATGGATCAGCATCCACTTATCTGAGAGAACATTCAGCCTTTGGTTTTTTTGTTTGTTTGTTTCTTTCTTTTTTGGAATGACTTACTTTGCTTAGCATGATATTCTCCACCTCCATCCATGAACCTGATAATACCATAATTTTATTCTCTTTTAATCCTGAGTAATATTTCATTGGGTATATATACCACAGTTTCTTTTTCCATTCATCTATTGAAGGACATCTAGGTTGGTTCCACAGTTTAGGTATTGTAAATTGAGCTGCTATGAACATTGTTGTGGCTGTGTCACTATAATATACACTTCTTAAAAAAGGATAAACATGGAGTATTTGCAATCCTGAGGTAATATTTTTATGTTAATGACTTAATACACCTTTTCAAAAAAAGCTAGATATGCTTCCTACTCTCCCACCATGAAGAACAGGATAACATCATGCATCCGAACCAGTCCTAAGCACATCAAATACATGTTTCACTTTAGCCTCAAAACAACCCTTTAAGAAAAGTCTTACTAGATCCATGAATAAATTAGGAAGCTTGTATCAGAGCAAGGAAATGCAGCAGCCTGAGGTTGTACAGCTACAAATCCTGAAGCTGAAATCTAAACACAAGACTTGGCTGCRACTCAACCTGCCAACTGCTCCCTGCTTACATGAAGGATGAAATCTTATTGTCACAAACAGTGTAGCCTCAGAAACCGTCGATTTACTGGATGAATTTAAGACYATGATTTCAAATTATTTGCTCCAGCATTTAACTGGTTTATATCTAAAGTCCCACATTAAGCAGCAAGCTTAATTATTTACTCAGGGACACAGACTGCAATCATTATGTCTTCTAGTATTCACCTGGAAGTTATACAGTTTAAAATTAAACATCTTAATGAATTTTGTAGTGAGAATAAAATTAACAGCCATATGGCCAAATTTCATACACCTTACTGAATTTGTCCAAGCTAAATTATCAGAGCTATAGGTTTTAAGGCATAAAATGTTGGGTTAGCAGTCAACATTATCTTAATAAARCAAAACAGTACTGGGGCTATAGTTTAGTAGCAGAGCGGTTGTCTAGCATTACCCAATACTAGGGAAGATTTTTAAAAAGGCTAAGCAAATAAAGCTGAGGCTCTCTCTGCCTGTAGCCTTCTCTTGGCTGCCTCCACTTGCTGCCTTTATACCCCAGGAGGCTGTAAATCCTCTATCTGCTCAATTGGCTGCACATGCAGACAGATTCTCTCTTAATTCATGATTAGAATTAACTACAGGAGTTCTGCCAGGAGTCCATCTTTGTTGCAGAAACAGTTTTCCTGCAGGCTGTGCACCTTGGATGCTGTGGCTGTCTTACACTCTTGGGGATTTGCCTGCCTGCAGCTTTGTGGTGAGGCTGCCTATCCACAGGGAGGGACGGAAAGGACAGGTTCTTAGAAAGCTGAATATCAGTCCTATTTCCAGAAGTGTTGCAGAGGGATTACAAACTGTACACAAAGCAGCCTCTGCAGTATTTTTCTTTTTAAAAAWTTTTTTGCGGTACTGGGAATAGTACCCAAAGCCTTGGGCATGTTAGGCAAGTGCTCTGTCATGGAGCTACACCTTCAGTCCTGAATCTGTTTCTGTTTTATACACTGTGGATGCTGTGAATTTTGATCATTCCTATTCCCACTCSAGTTAGTTGCCATGATTCTCAAAAACAAATTTATGACCCATAGCTAATGACTTCTGAGAATTTAAGACCCATGTATGTTCAAACATGCTTCTAGCACCATTTTACTTTTCCAACCTTTATTTTTTCTTTGCTTTTATGTCCTTGTTTATTTTTTGTCCTGCATGTTTTTATTCTACACACACACACACACACACACACACATATATACATACACCTTCCTATAATGGATCAAACCTGAAAAGCTTTTGGGAATGGAGCAAAATACAAATGTTTTAAAAACTGTAGAAAGTTTTATTGTTTAAGGAGCTCTCAAATTCATTTATCAGCAAATTAATTAAGGAGTCTTTTCTATAGTTCTTTTAAGGCCAGAACAGAAGAAAGAAACATTGAAAACACAGCCCCTACTGATAGGGAACTTACTCAAACAAACTGAAAAGCTAGAAATGAGAATTTCTACCTAGCTATAATTAGCTCCCAAATCCACATCCYTGCCAAAAGAAAAATATTGAGGAGAGCCTATAAAAGATTGTATTGTTCAGCAGGGGAGAACATGCCAGGTAGTTTTTTTCCTGGGTGCCACCCTGCATTCCATCCTGATGCTGTTATCACACATTGCACAACAGCATTTGTAAAATGTCCCTCTGTGTTGCTYGGAGTAAACTGAGAAAAAATGATGGGAACTGAGATTCTTTGTAACAAAAAAGCAAATTAATCAGAGAAGAAAGATGGAGCAATATTTCCCAGATAACATTGTGTGTGTTAGGGGAGAAGGGGGCTGGTGATTAAACCCAGGGTTTTGTGCATGATAGGCAAGTGCTTTACACTAAGCCAAAACTCCCAGGCCCAGATAACATTGATGTTTTCTGCAGGGAGTTGAAAGGTGACCCCCTCAAAAGATAAGTCTACATCCTAACCCTCAGAATCTGCGCGACCTTAATTTGGAAAAAGGGATCTTTGCAGATGTAATTAATATTCAATCAATCTGGATAATGGGCCTTGAATCCAACAAGTGTCCCTATAAAAGACACATGGAGGAGAGAAACATGGAGAATAGAGGCTGAGATTGGAGTGATGTAGCCACAATCAAGAATGACAAGAGCCCTCAGAAGTTGGAGGAAATAAGAAACAACTCTCCCTGAGGGCCTTTCAAAGGTACCCTGTTGGCACCTTAATGTCTAACTCCTGGCCTTCAGAAAGAACTGTGAGAGAATACATTTCTGGTGTTTCAAGCCTCCCATTTGCAACCATTTGTTATAGCAGCCCCAGAGACCTCATTGTGAGTTTTCTTTGGAACTCCTGAAAGGTGGGCTTTGTTACCAAAAGGAAATGACCAATAAGTACATGGATGCCTCTTTCAGACTGACAGGAGAAATTTTCACTTAGGACAGAAGTTCAGGAAAAAACTGATGGAATCCTACACAATGGAAGCTATAATTTATCCAATGGAGTTATTGCTTGAGTCAGACCTGGTTTTTATTCCTCCACTCTGGTTTGTGCTATTTTCCTAACATAGTGAAATGTACCATACTCCTGAACCAACAATAAACCATGTTCAGTAAATATATATGTCAGTGAAAGTGAGTTCTGAACCAGAAAGAAAGAATGGAGGCCATGAGTGCTGCTGACCATTTGTATCAGGATCCTCTTTTTACATGTCTCCTCTGTCTGCTACTAACTGCTCTTGTTGGCTCCCACACAGACCCTCTCTGAGCATTCTGTGTTAGAGTAGGTGCTAGGCGTGCATGCATGTGTGTGTGTGAGWGTATATGTATGCTTTTAAATGGGTGTATATGTGTGCTAAGAGCACGTGTGTATGTGTAAAAGTGTGTATATGAATGTGCATAATTGTGTTTGAGTATGCCTGTGTGAGTACGTAGATGTGTGTGTGCTAATCCCACGCTTGAGTACAGGTGGATGGGAAGGATGTAGGGAGCTTCAGGTTGCTCCCAGGTCTGTAATCTTACGGTGTCTGAAATGGGAGCATCCAGTCACCATCACACATGGGAGAGCCTGGAAAAGACAGAACAGGATGAGCTCATGGGAACAGAGGCACTGGCTGCCCTGCTGAGGTCTTTTCAGAGGGGGGAAATGGCAACTGGGCTACATCCTGGACAGAGGCACAGGGTGTGCAGCAGCCCTTTGTGCACTTCCAGAGTGCAGACCCCACAATCCTACACCATCTCTCCATTGTTTGTCTCCTTACAGATGCTTCATAATGCCTCCCTCCCACGCACATCAAGTGTGTCCAACCACCAAATTCATTTCCCCTGATCTCATCTTGGCTAGGGCACCACCTGCCCAATCCTTACCCAGATGCCTTGTCAAGATTAGACACGACTGCTGTTCTGATTTTTATTGCTGACCTAACCCAAAGTTAATCACATCCTTTTTTTTTTTTTTTTTTTTTTTTAGAAATGGAGGATTCCAGGGCTCCCTGTTTACAGGGATAAGCCAAAGGGCTCAGCATGATACTCTAGGCTCTAAATCATCCTAGACTCTTACCCTTCCTCTCCCTCCTTCCCCCTGTCCTTCTCTTCCTCTCCCACTCTTATACCCTGTTTAGCACTTTCATCATTTTAAAAAACAGGAAAGGATAACACCATCTTAGAGTTTCAGTTGGATGCCCCTCTTGATTAAGTAGATCTCTGTGTCACTCTTCTTCTCCTAGAATAATAACCATGCACAGGTGAGACTGAGAAAGATGTGGACACTTTGGAGGATACTCCTATGTCTCCCATCATCTCATGTTCTGAGCCCCAAGGGTTCAAGTGTGATTTCAAAAGAAAACTCAGTCAAATAGGCAGGATTCCTAATGACTTACCATTTATCTATCTACCTATCTACTTATTTATTTATTTCAGATCAGACTTCGTATGCCTAAAGAGCAACTGGAACTCTTAAAGTAAGTAAGATATTTGTCACTCTGGTGTGGTTCCAATGCTGAAATGTTTTTGTACAATGATAAAACTAAAGTCATTTCCCCATATTGTCAAGCCATATTTCTTCATGCCAGTCAAGAACATATTTTCCTGGCCATTTCCTCTTTTCTCCCATAAAAAAAGCAGTTTGCTTTAAAATAACATATATGCATGAGTGAGGGAGAGCAATTTTCTTGGGTTATTTCCTTATATAAATTCAAATAAAATTAAACATACTAATTGTAAATTAGAAATGATACACACAGACCAATTTACTTCTAACCCTCTAGTTGTTTTCATTTTTTTCTTTCTCTTCTTCTTTCCTTTCCATCTGTAATGTGTGCACAGAGAAATGCTAGGCATAGTGTCACGAAATATGAATGATGATAAATTCTAGGAGTGAAGTTTTGGGAAATATTATTTCTTATATTTCTCTGTTGTGTTTTTTTTCTTTATAGTAAGTATGTTTCTGTAAACCAAAAAAATAGCATTTTTATTGCTTTAGGAAATTACTTGCCCTTTGATATGTYTCTACTTCCATGGATCATTCCTTAAGAAAAATATATATTTGATGTGCTTCCAATATTATTTTTGATTATAAAAAATGGAAGACAACCTAGATGAGAAAAATAGGCCATTATTTAAATACACTAGAGTCTACTCATGTAATGGGGAATTATGAAGCCATTAAAATAATTCTAAAATATATTTAGTGATTTTAGAATGTTTTAGAACACACAATTACAAATATGGTCTCTATTTTGTTACTGATTTTTTTGCATGGAATAAAAATGATTAAAAGCCCACCAAAATTTAAAATTTGTTTGCTTCTTTGAAATATTTGTATTTTCCCAATTTTAAACATGTATTTAACAATTTTGGGAAAAATACTAGAGATATAGTGCTTATATTTATATCAATATCAAGAAATACCTGTTCACTTGACATTTTCTTATTCTCTTTATGAGTAATTTTCAAGCTGTAAAAGTAGTACAAAAAGTTCTTGGAAACAACATCTTGCACATTTGGACTGTAAAACCAGCGAAAGCACTTCTAAGAACTTCCACAGAACTCTAGGCCACAGTTTGAAAATCGGTGCTTTGTACTGCTCTTGAAATGCAAGGTGTCTCAATTTGAAGGAGTATGACATTTGTGATTTAGGATTCACATGTGTAAAGTCACCCAACTGAAGGACAATCAAAGTTGAGCCTTGCCTGCCCCAAGTGGAGCACAGTGAAGCATCAGGACACCCTCAAGACATGTCTTCTGAATGCCTTTGCTTATTTTACGTAGTGAAATATAATGCTTTTGACAAATGTGCCTTCCCTTCTCTGTCCTTCCTCATATGATTATGTTTCCCATTGCTGGCATGGAAGCCCAGCACCCTCAGATGACAGGGACTTTAAGTCTCACTTCTTTACCTTATAATTCTCCATGTACAGGAAGGAAAGCCAGACTTTGGAAAACAATTTTCGTGAAATTCTATTTTTAATTGAACAAATAGATGTTCTGAAAGCATTACTTAGAGATATGAAGGCCGGCACATACAATTACAGCTGGAACGTCCAAGGAGACACTGCCCAGGACCAGGACAGCTCAGAGATGCTGGATGAGGCAAGGCGGGCTGGAGGCATGGGAGGCTGGGGTGATATTAAACAGGATTTCCCATTGGTAATCCCACTGCTCCTCTGCCCTGAGAACCCTACTTCCGACTGTTTAGCTTGTGTCCTTTTTGACATTCTCCCCTGATACTTTCTTTCACTAGAGCTTGCCCTGGGAAATTCACTTTTTCACCAGTGCTGTGTCACAAGAAGATGCTGGATTGCAGTATGACTTAMTTGCCACAAAAATCAATTGATTCAGTTTCATTTTCCAAAATGTTGTTTAGAATTAAAATATCTGTACAAAATATATTTCCACAAAAACAAAGTATTTAGAATTAAATATTTGTACACAAATATTTAGATAGTAAGAAATTTTTATTTCCCATCCTGYTAAGCTAGTAATTTAGGTCAGATTTTGACAAAAGCTTGACTTTGCTTCTCTTCTGCTGACACCAGCACAACCATCTTTCTCTTCCTCACTATGTTTTGAAATGCGTTGAGATCTGACACTGACCTTCTGCTGTGTCCTGGGCCCATTTTATCCTTGTCACTGTGACAAAGTATTACAGTGAGAACTAGAACTGCTATACCTGCTCAGGATACTTGTGTATTTTAAAAGCAGAACATCCTTCAGAATTCAGTAAATTAATTCAAGTGGATGGAAATTTTCTAATGTAAGCAATCATCCATTCTTTGTAAACTGCCTGAGTACCAAATAAGTACAGAATGTTCAAGTCTTTATTGTTACCAAATAAGGACAGAATGTTCAAGTCTTTATTGTTAAACATCAGGACACCAATGAACAGCTCACATAGCACAACCCTATCTCACACTCCACAGGGGAATGCTATGGTGTGCTGGACAGGGATTCAGATGGGGCCCTGGTCAACCTTGCTGTGTGGCTATGGGGAGTCCCTGAAAATATCGTAGCTTTAGTTACTTCATGTGTCTGAGAAGGGCCATTTCCACAGAATTGTGAAAGTGTCATTCCAAATGCATATACCATGCCTAGATCATAAGYAGTTTGAGAGCTGTTCAAACTGTTATTATTTTACAGAATTGGGAACTTAGGTTCAGATCAATAGTAAATAGCCAAAACTCAAGCAGTTGATAGATATTGTTAAAAAGAAAATTTTTTACAATTTTTACAGGAAATGTCAAACTTGGTACATTATGTACTCAAAAAGTTGAGAGGGGACATGGTACAAATGGCTGATTATGCCCTGAAGTCAGCTGGTGAGTACAGAAAATGTGGAAAGCTAATTGTAAAAAAAATAAGGAATCCTTTAAGTAGGATCTCTCTATTCTTTAAATGTCTTTATTAGTAAAAYGTATTTATCCACATGTAACTTACAAGAGGGCAAGCCTAATCAAACCAGGTAATAAAAAAGAGATTAGAAATGAYTGTCTTTTATGTTTTCTGAATGCAAATCTTAAAGGTCATGAAAACTGTGCATCTTCATTAGCATGCAACTAAAAGGACCATAAGGAAAGTAAAGATWCGGGCTGGAGTTGTGGCTCAGCCGTAGAGCGCTCACCTAGCACATTCGAAGCCCTGGGTTCGATCCTCAGCACCACATAAAAATAAATATGCAAAATAAAGGTATTGTGTACAACTAAAAA